CTACTAATTAAGTAATATAATAATTAACTTCTAAAAGATATAAAATAAAGTAATTATAAGTCTAGTAAAATATAAAAAGTTAAAAAGTATATATTAATAATTATATTAGTTTAATATTTTATAATATTATTATATCTATACTAATATATCTATTATTATAACTAATAATACTTATATATATAATATAAGAATATATAAGTAGCTTAAAAAGTCTAGTTAGTAAAGAAAGAATTATTAATCTATATACTACTTCTAACTATATATCTACTAGTTAGTACTTATAGAGTATTATAATTCTATTAACTAATTCTTAGTCTAAAGTAAAGGATATATTAGAAGTAATAAGTTACTAGTTACTTATATTTATACTTATATTAGTATTAGATATATCTATAGCTTAATAATATAATTAAAATTAAAATTAAAATTAAAATTGTTTATATATTAAAGATTATAATTATAAAGAAGATAATTATAAAAAAAAACTTATTAGTTATTTAAAAATAGATATAAATAATATAAACTTTAATATATTTATATAAAATAGTTAATAAATAATATAAAATATTACTTTTAATAGTAGATTAATATCTTATTAATAAGAATTATTAATTATTAATAACTACTATAAATTATAATATAATAATAAATAAAGTATAAAAGAAAATAGATTTATATTTAAACTAAAGCTATATTTAATATAATAAAGTACTAGTATAAGTTCTAAACTATAGCTTTTCTTATTAGTATTAGATAGAGAAGTTCTAAATAAGTTATAAACTTAACTAAAGTATCTAAATAATATTAAATAATTATTATAGATAATTAATAACTTTTATTAAAATTATAAATATTAATATAAAAAGAAATATAAAGTATAAGTTTTTACTTAAGTTAAGTATAATATAAAGATAATAAAGCCCTAAGATATTTAGCTTAGATACTAACTTTTTTATTATTAATCTATTAAAATACTTAATATCTTAAAAATAATAAAGTAATAAATAAATAAATTAATATTAATATTAATTAGTTATTAGTATTAGTTATATTATATATATAATCCTTGGTATATCTATATATCTCTAAACTATTAAGACTAGATAAAAGCTTTATTGGAGGGCTATTTATATATCTGTCAAAGGCTATATGTGTGTTTGTTAAAGGCTCTGTGTGTGTGTGTATGTGTAGAAGGGAGGAAGAAGTAGAGAGAGACGGGGGCAAAAAAAAGGGAAAAACATAATAATAGCTATTTCGCTAGCTATAAAATTGCCTGTCAGGCTTCTTATTGCCTGTCAGGGCTTCTTGAGGCCTGGCAACGCACCGTGGCACCCTGCAAGATCACAGGGCATGTCCACAGACCTCCCGCGTAGGTACTCATTAAATTTACCTAGGTACTGTACCTACGCATCGACGAAGCGTCTGCTTAGAAGTAGCAGTAGATTTTGGGAGACGAAGTACAACGGATAAGAAAGCATAGGCGATTGATGAAGACGAATGATGGTGTAGATTTACACACTACGTACCACATGTCATCTGAACTTGCCGCTGTATCCGTATGCTCTTCGACAATGTGCAAGCCACGACGCCATCGCAAAAAACGGTACTTTGATCTACATTATAGGCGGGACGGGCGCGTAAAATCTTGCCCTGATAACCCACTGTAAATTTGTAGTCTCAGGTACCTATCACCAGGCAGCCAAACGTGGATTGGTATTGACTCAGCGCCACGCCGCTGGTTGAGAGCTTTGCCACGGACTGTTCTCTCGCCGCTGTCAGTACCAACCTCTGATGACCTTGCGCTACTTCTGGATGCGCAAATTGCGAGATGTGGATTGAGTCCTATGACCGGTATTCTACTCGAACCAGGAAGCTGAGTAGCGACTTCACGCGGAGCTCGACAGGATGAAATTTGCACACGATTTCAAGCAAAATCTTGCTAGCCAGGGTACGGAGCGCATGCGCGTAGATATCTAGGTTGCTAACGAGGAGCAGATTTTCCACCACACTGGATTGAGCGGGCTATACCGTATAGTCAACTGAAGAAATGCCTCAAGAAAATCCAACGCGAACTGCAAGACTTGGGCCTGGACCAAGAAACGCTACGCGCTCTTCTAAGTGCCGAAGAAACGGCGCCAGTTGCTCTGCAATACAAATTGCGAGGTACGACCCGAATAATACCGCGATAAGAATCTACGAGCGCTAATTCTTCCTCAAACCACAGAATCCGGATCAAGATTTGTGCGCCCCAAGCTAACGGTCAACGTACATCTGCGCGACGGTGTGGCGGTTGACGCATCCTTGACCCCAACGTCAAGAGGCTTCCTCGAGAAACTAGCGTGCGAAATTCTAGATGGGCATGAACGGGAATCACTGGGCCACATACAAGCAAGCCGACAGGATGAAACCGTCCCCAAGGAGAACTCTAGTACCGGTTTCATTGATGGCGATGTTGGCAACTACGAGACTATCGAAGTCCCCCTTGTGTTCGATGCTGAATTCTTCGACATGCTGCAAAATGATGTCAACGAATTGGATGCACTGCAAGCAGAAGAGCAAAAACAACTGACTAACGAGATCACGGAGCTCTCGAAAGAAGTCTCTGCCGTATCTCGACCCAGTCGCTTCTCGAAGAGCGACCTGGCGCGCTGGCGCGAAATATTCGAACTATATTTGGACTCTAACGTTTTTTTTGCAACGCAGGAATGCGACCATGGTGCAAGAAATAGCCAGAGAGCACTCAAGCAACTTCAATGGTTTCAGAATGAAGTCGAGAAGCGCAATCTAGCACGCAATTTCAAAATTTCACAAAGTCGCCAGGCTTTCGCCAGGTTTCTGCGGTTAAATGCGAGCCTTCTAAAGAATCTGCAATTTCAAGAACTCAACAAACTTGCGGTATCCAAGATCCTAAAGAGTGAGTGACCATTTTCAAGTTAGACGTTGATTTAATGACTCAGACGACATATCACAGAGTTCGATAAGCGTACGTCGCTTGGCGTCTCCAAGTCTTTTCCCACAATGATTCTATCTGATGGTCTTTTTGCCGGCGGTATTGCCAAAGATGTGTGTGCCTCAATGTCTCAAGAGCTGGTAGCAGTTGTACCGCAGATCAACGACTACCTCTGCCCAGTCTGCTTTTCTGTGGCTTATCGCCCTGTGAGGCTCGATTGCCAGCATGTATTCTGCATCCGGTGCATCATTAAGATTCAAAGACGCAAAGAGACGCATTGTCCCCTATGCAGAGCAGATGTAGTGATGTCTGCCTCCGCAGGTGAGAGAGATTGCTTGCATCTCTACTGCTACTACAGCCTTCACTAACTAAGACGACAGACAATCTTGACCTCCGATTGGAGAGGTACTTAGAGAAGTACTTTCCTAAGGAGGTAAAAGAAAAGCAGAGAGCGAACGAGATAGAGCGCGGAATCGAAGACTACGGCCCTGGTTATCAGCACCAGGATTGTCTCGTGATGTGATGAACGATGATGCAAAAAAAGTAATCCCCTTCTTGAACTGCATTGCAATAATCAAAACGACGCTCTTCGTCTCGCGATTTTAAGAGTGGCGATTTTAAGAGTGCACCAATTGCACAAGCGATCACTGGCGAACACAGTCGATCGCAAGGGCGGCCAACAATCGAGCTCATGATCATTTAAAACGAAATAATAAACATACGGAAATTTGATCCCCGCCCTACGTCCAATGCTGAACCTCCGTCCTCTGTTCGTCTATCTGCTTCGTTGCGTTTTCAGCTGCTTGAAGAGCTCTGCAAAACGTCTCGCTGAGGATATCTTTATCCTCGAGCCCAACACTGACGCGCACCAAGTCCGGGTCTACCCCAAATTGTGCCGCCCAAGGAAGCTCATTATAGTGAGCCAATAAGGCGTATGGAGAGCACAATGTAAAATTCGTGCCCAGGCTTGGCCCCTTCGCGATATCCATAGCATCGTAAAAAGCTTGTGCGCTGACTTGATGATGAAATACAACAGATAGCAAACCACCATATCCACCATGTGGTAGACGAAAGCGCTCATATAGATCTCGAGACGGATTGAACTTTGGATAGAACAAATCTTTCACGAGAGAGTGGCCCCGTAGAATGTCGCAGATAGCCTCGGCATTTGCATTGACTCTTTCCACTCGGTTGAGGAAATCTCGACTGTTCCTCTCCATGAAGATGATGTCCTCCGGCCAATAGTTGTCTTCAACCACTATGTCCATTGCGGATTTGAGCAGTCTATAGTATTTGCTGCTAGGGTTCAGAACAGCGCTGCCCCCCATCACATTGGAATCCCCAGAAAAAATCTTCGTGAGGCTGCTGACGACAATATCGGCAGATTGAAGAACATTCACGTTTGCGAATGTACCAATAGTTTCGTCCACTACGACAGCGAAGTCGAAAATATCCGCGAGTCTTCGAATTCTTTGCAAATCCGGACTGGCTAAAAGAGGATTGCCAGGGAACTCACAAAAGAGGGCCAGAAGACGTTCGCCCTTCTCCAACCGCTTCTCGAGCTCATTCAGGTCAGAAGATGAGCCATGTCCATAGAATATACAGCCAGGCCCGAATTTCTCCAGAATTTTTAGAGTATCGACGTAAGGGAACCCGAAACTGACACTCTGAAGCCGTCCTCTGGCGGCCATTAATGCACGATGCGCGTTGAAGATCGCGTTCATACCTGTAGGGAAAAGGTATATATCGGATTCGCTTAGGTTTCTGGTGCGAAGCGATCGTAGGGGAAGCTTCAGTACCGCTCCTTCTACTAGATCATTTTCGCTAACCAGTGACCCAGCAATCCTGCGACGAATTGCTGATTTAGCTCTTTTGGCTAGCGAGAGGTCCAGATTTCTACCGAATCGCTCTTCCAAAAATCTAGAGCTTTCTTTGGTGTCATTAGAAGTCGCAAAGACAGCCTCCGAATTAGGTGCTGCGGTTTCATCCACCGAATTTGTGCGTTGGTACCGCTTTGGGCCTCGTGAAGACTTGAGTGTGATTTCGCGAATAGCATTTTTAGAACTACTCGGTACCATGATGCCGGCTCGTAGGAGATCGTGAAAGAATTCTGCACGTCGACTCGACACTCCGTCTCCAGTATGTTGCCAATATTGCTTGGCAAGCCCAAAGGCATCTGCGGGAAATAGAGCTGCAGCTATGGTCGAGGCTAGACCACTCAGAACTGGAGAAGTATCTTCGGAGAGATTGAGCTCGAATGATATCGACTGAAATTGGATAGCAAGAGCCTCAAGAGCTCTCTTTCGCATAAAGTCTAAGCAACGCTCGACTGCCTGTGGTGTAGAAAAGAGCATGGCTTGCTGGTCTTCTCTTCCGTAGGCAGAGACAATCGCATGGCTTAGCTCGGTAATGCTTCTATGGACAAAAAACCTGCGAGTAGCAAGAGTCAAAACTTGTCCCCATTTGATTCGCGAACAAGCATACCTAGGATAGCCAGTGGTCATCCGGCTAACAACCCATGATGCGCCTTCCTCATAACCGATGTTTGACTCCCACGTGGGCAAGGACACACTGACAGCCTAACATGCGGGTTAGCACATAGTATCGTTGGAAATCGTTGGTGCTCTCTTGACGGCTTCAGACCGTTGTAACTTACGTGCGCGGTATCTGGGGGTATGGACTCGCCTAAGGCTAAGGAAGGCATTCTTGTGAGAGCTATGTGGTCTTGATTCGCACAGAAGAACCCCTGCTACTTTTCGTTCTCGTTTCTATGAGCCTCAAGTACCAATTTTTAATTTTGATGTCGACTTGATTGTCGTCGGCGATCACACCTGTGAGTCGAAAACGTGTGTGGAAATTTTGGTGCGCCGCCGAGGATCGGACTGGTGGGATATGTGTGTGTGTGGATCTCAAGATACGGTGTTGGGCTCTCGTAACGGAGACGAGCTGGCGTCGACGCCTCCTGGACAATGCCATACATAGCATGACGATACAAGACGATGTATGCAGAAAAACGAATGCTATCGTTGAATGAACAATCAGACATGGCCTAAGCGATGTAGTTCAACGAGAAAAAAGACATTATTTACTTCCGACACAACTGATGCTGTCGCTTGGCGCTATGCTTTTAAAGTCGTCGTCCCAATTTGTGCGACTGTTTCCAACATGGCTACCTGGTAGCGGGACATGTCTCGCGGAGACATGGCTCTGCGAGCCGTCATGATCATTGGAACCGATACAACTGGCGGGAAGTGGAATATTTCGCGCCGAGACACGGCTACTGTGGCCGGTTACCTTGCTAACGCCGTCCACGCAGCTAGCTGGCAGTGCGATATTCCTAGCGGAGACGTGGCTGCGCAAATCCTCAGCGCCACCAGCATTCTTACGGCTTGCAGACGAAGATGCCTTTCTAGCAGATACATGGCTGACTGTATCGAAAAAATCGCTAGTACCTACCCGATTAGACGGAAGTGGAATATCTCTTGCTGAGACGCGACTGCGCTTATCCTCCATGTTGTGGTGATGACCAGCGGATACATCCGACTTCTTAGCGGAGACCTGGCTTCGTGTGTCGAAGAACTCGCTAGTACCGACCCGACTAGGGGGTAGCGGGACGTCTTTTGCCGAGACATGACTGCGTTTGACTTCACTGCTGCGGTGGCGGCTAGCGGATACATCTGTCTTCCTAGCGGAGACATGACTTTGTGTATCGTAGAAGTCGTTACTACCTACCCGACTAGGGGGTAGCGGTACGTCCTTTGCTGAAATGTGATTGCGACTATCCTCGCCGCTAGGATTTCGACTTGCGGATACATTCTTTTGCCTTGCGGAGACATGACTTCGCGAGTCAAAGTATTCAGTTGTGCCGGGCCGGTGAGGAGCAGTCCTGGAGGAGGGCTGCGATACCTCGGTAGATTGAATAGTAGAACGCGGTTTCGGAGAGGATGTTTCCTTCAGACGCGAGACAGATGATACTTTCGAGACGGAAGACTTCGCATCAAAGCCGCATTGCTGAAGATCTTGAGTATTGCTCTGTTCGCGCTTCGATGTCAACGAAGATGCGACCGTTGTGAATTCACTGCTCCCCTTTGACGCCTGAGCGGGGTTGGTAGATGACGAAAAAACGCGCAAATGGGCTGTGGAGTATGGCTCGGGCTCTTTGACTGATAATTGTCCCTCACTAACAATCGTTCCTGCACCCGAGGCCGCGTTGGCTGGTGCAAGCCGTCTATTTGGGGGGACAGTCCTTGAAGGTGCGGAGGCTGAGACCCTGGAACTCGATTTCATCGGAGAGAGTTCAACGTCTTTCAAAACCCTGATAAGTTCCCTGCTCTGTTCTTCTTCTTCACCACACTCGTTGTTCCCTTTATGGCCTGGAGCGAATGTGCGTTCACCAGCTGACGCTGGTGGACGAACTGATGCTGGCGGACGAACTGATGTTGGCGGACGAACTGATGCTGGCGGACAAGTCGACACTGGAGGACGGACTGATTGATCTTCCTGGAATTTGATTCGTTGCGATCTGACCGGAACTGGTTCGTGCTGATCCCTGTCAACCGTCCCGATCGGTATACTAGAATTGGACGGGGCTTGTGCATTGTTGGGAAGGGATCTTTGTCTCCCATCTATTTCGGTCGCAACCAACCCAGGTTTCTTGGCTGACATGACCCCATAGGTGATCGCTGCCCCGGCTGCCGCGCCGGCTGCGACACCCATAAGCGCACCCAGAACAGTAGACATACCGCCAATAGGAGTATTGGTGTCCTCGGTCTTTGTCAGAAATGAATTCGTTGGCTCGCGCGAGTCTTGGTTGTCCAGCGTTTCTGTCGTGCGGCCACTATCGTCGATACTCTTAACACCACAATGCTCAGGTTTGCAGTTATTCCAATCGAGGACTTGGAAAACGTGCGTGTCCTGTTGAGGATCAAGAACTAGAGTATACTGGCCAGTGGTAACATTAGGCCTGCAAACATGCCCGGTATAGACAGCTTGCATACGATTACCATCCAGGTCGAATATCGTGGAATGATTGAGAGAGTCATCGACAGCAAACATGGATGCTGGGGCTGCCTCCAGTCCTTGCCTATAGAAGGCCTGAATAGATTCCGGGGTCGGAGCGCTGATTCGAATTGTCGATAGTCGCAGCGCGGTAGGCCTTGCGATTTGGCGGAGATGCAGGACTGGGCCCCGGCAGCAGCCAAAGGTTGCAAAGTCGGGACCAGATGCTACGCTTTCCGACAGAAGATAGCGAAGGCCAAGTGGTTGGAGAACCGCAGCATAGAAGGAAGTCGAGGGCGCCAATTGTGATACTTCGATACATGGAAGCTGCATGTTGCGTTGCATATAAACTGAAAAGGTTGAATGAGTTGGTGGTCAGTGATAGTGATACTAGTATTAGTAAAAGTAAACGGGACCCATTGCTTTCAAATACTCACGAGATTTCTGCTTCCGACCTCACCGATATACAGTGGCTGCCAGCTACACCTTTCAACTGCATGAAAAAGCGGAGTTCTTCATGTGTGTAAGCCTAACGAGTTGCCAGCGAAGATTAATTGTCAAATGTGAGATATTATGGTCCAATGACAATAAAATGGGTCACTGTTGGGCAGTTTTGCAGTTGCTGGGACCCAACCTGGCCTACCTTAATACTACTTGCCACGTTGCCATGCTACCTAAATAGTTTGATAGCGTGCATACCTTCGTTGAGACGGAACTCTGTAGCAGTGGGTAGTGGCTGGATGGCTGGATATGAATAAGTCAAGCAGGCAGAGGAGCTACGCACACAATATTTTGGGGACCTTGTCATGCCATTCGCACACTATAATAGCTTTTGCAACAACATGTGATTGAGCATGCTTCCACGCCTAAAAATTGTGCTAGGTATCAACTCAACATTGCTTCTTGCTATCAGCTGCCGCGACCAGTGAAAAGAAGGTGAAGCGCAGCACCCAAATCCGCATTGTGTGGTTTTCGCCGCCGAATATTGTATTCATGCCCGAGGAGGCTGGGGCCAACCAATGGTCTCGCGAGCCAGTGTCAGGCTAGCCACAGTTTGGCAACAGCTGCCCACAGCACGTCCCAAGTTCTCCCAATACCTCATGTCTAAGGGGAATACGGTTGGGCAATCTCAAGGTCACATCCTGCTTTCACCCATAGATCTAGATAGCGGCGCCAGCAGAGAGGCAGTTTGACCCCAATGCCCTCGCCTCCTCCTCTTGTGACTATGAGCGTCAGATAAAAATTCACCATTCAACTCTGCTCAGTTTGCCTCATCGAGTCGATCCAGCAGTAGCCTTTTGTTGTGTTGATCTGGTGCTAGCCGGAACAGTTTCTCCCGCCGGAAAGCCAATATCTTGGAAGACGAGCAAGGGCAACTAGAGGATATCCCAAGCGTCCTCAGCGGCATGGCAAAACTTGCTACAGGCTACGCTGGCAGAGAGAGAATAGTTGCTGATCGAGATCTTTTCGTCGACCATAGAGTCCCCAAATGTATCCGCACCCTTAGCCATAGCACCAACGAACACGCAGATACTCTCCTTGGAGCCAACAGACTCAACATATTCGCGCACACGAACTAGAGGTGAGTCGAAGCTCAGTGTGACCTTCCGGCAATTGGGTGGCAAGTGATCGGTGATAGGGTTTTGAATAACCCTTAGAAGTTTTTCGTTGGAGTTTGTAGAGCGTATCGACAGACGATGTAACAGTTGCACCATGAGACCAGCAAATCTTTTAAAGGTACGAGGAATTCGTACAGAGGGTGAGACCTCGATAAGAACACCCTTCGCAGTATGAATATAGATTTGTAGCTTCCCAGCTTTGTTGATTGGTGAGTCCAATAAGGTAAGGAGGCACTGTCTCATGTTAATAATGATACAATGCTAGCTCTTGCACGATCGCACTAACCTGGTGGGTAATATCTGGGCGAGCATCGCTTATGTCACGATTCATCTTACGCATGACTCCAATGTGCTCATCACTGTTCAACAGCGAGTATTTTTCCTCGCGGTGTATGCCAGTGCGACTGCTGTTGCTGTGCGACGCTTTGTAGGTCTCGAGGCTGGCGTTGGACAAAACGACAATGAGCCTTTGAGAGTCCTTGTCTGTGGGCGGAATCGGTGTACTTTGTTCCGCGACCAATTGGGGAAGTTGGGGCGGTGGCAGCGATTGCGTTCCTACAAATTTCAGAACAGTAGTCAGTATTGGGCTTGCTAGGCGACTTTCCGTCGAAAAAGAAGTGATCAACCGACTCATACTCGGTCGCTTTACGCCTGCTCGGTGATCCGTAGATGACATGGCGCTTTCTGGAGCAATCAGAGTCGGTATAACCGTCCAAGATTCGTAGTATCCTATCCCACAATCCGCACTCTTCGAAGTTGGTAGTGATGCTGGCCAAGTCGCAGGAAGAAACAAAAATCGATGGAGTTACAGGCCGTTCCACTAGCACCGGAGAGGTTTGGGCAGTGTGCTGACTAACAGTGGCCAAAGTTGCGTTGGCCTGTGATTGGCCAAGTCGCCAGTTCTTCTCAGCAAGGAGTTGACGACGGTGTCACACGCACGACCAGTGCTCTTATCTGCAAGATTCTTTCCTTCCAAGCAACAGCCATTGAATCTTTCTGACTTTCTAAGATATGTCATCTCAAGTGACCAAGGCCGCGCGCCGTGTTACTCATGAGTTGCATGGTGTTGTGGTTTCAGCAGGCTTGATGCAGAAAACTGTCAAAGTCAGAGTCGGAGGGCAAATATGGAACAAAATCGTGAAAAAAGTGCGTGGATTATCATTTGCTGAGCTCGAAAACGCTCCACTAACATGTTTATGTTAAATACTGTAGTACTACGCCGACCCGAAGCACTACCTCGTTCACGATCCAAACTCTTCCCTTCGAACCGGCGATGTTGTTGCAATCGCGCCAGGCTGGCCAACATCGCGGCGTAAACGGCACGTGGTGAAGCAAATCATTGCGCCATATGGCCAACCGATTGAAGACAGACCTGCGATCCCGTCATTCGATGAAATAATATTAGAAAGAGAGGCCAAGAAGGAGGCTAAGGACGAGCGAAAAGCAGTGAAAAAGCGGTCCGAGGAGGAACGACGTGTAGCTTTGAAAAGATCTGCGGCAGATGAGCGCAACGCGAAACGCGCATCATGGGAACAGCTCATGGCAAAGTCTGGACAATAAGTACAAGACTGTCGCTTGAGGAAAACAGTGTCGTCTCGTCATCACCCCGTCTGCCACCTTTGTTTCTGGATTCCTATGGGAGAAAGATGCTCTCGTCTGATAATGCTGTGACTTTGATAGTCTCATGCCATTGTACATTAATTAGACCAGGTCACCGTCTTGCCAATGATGACCAATTGCTCGATTGCAGCAATTATTCGAGTATTGACGGTATCTCAGTGATTGGCCGACCTGACATTTGTTTGTAGTTTATCGGCCCTGCATGTGCATTCTAAGCGTTCACATGGGCCTTGAGGGCTGGAAAACCATCTGCCTAGCCACCTCGCTCTCCAAACTCATTTGCCCAAATCTCGTACTCCTTTAGTCCAGACTTACTCACGCTAGGTCTAATCGTGCGTAAACTTGCTTCGAAGTCTACAAGGCTTATAGGCCGTATTTCGTCCATAGTCATGTGTAGCAATGCCTCACCAAGAGATCGGAGCGGACCCATCGCTGCATCCTTGGCGAGTGCTGTGATGTCGGACCCCGAGAAACCTACCATTGTTAGGGATCAGGGCCAATTTCACCGCTCAACAGGGGTAACTCACCATCAGTCAAGCCCACCAGTTTCTGGACGTCGCTTGGTGACAGGCTGTGTTTCTGCTGGCCTAGCAGTGTGCGGATTTGTGTTTCCCTCGTCGTCGGTTCGGGCAAGGGAATGTATTGTCTCCTCACGAAACGGCGCCTCGCAGCCTCGTCAATGGCCCATGGCAAATTAGTTGCAGCTAAAACAAGTACACGATTCGCGTCACCACGTTCTTTGTCTCTTTCTGTCGTTTCACGCCCAGCTGCTGCTCTCTGAAGGTCGCTCCACTGAATGAGAAACTCCGTTTTGATGCGACGGGTCGCCTCGTGCTCACCTGAGCCAGATCGTTGGGAAAGAAGAGAATCGATTTCATCCACGAAAATGATGCTTGGTGCCAACGAGCGTGCCAAGCCGAACAAAGCTCGAACTAGTTTTTCAGACTCTCCCAAATACTTGCTCGTTAAGCTGCTTGCAGAAATGGAAAAGAACGTAGATCGTGACTCAGTCGCCACCGCTCTGGCAAGCATGGTCTTTCCCGTACCTGGCGGCCCAAACAGGAGCATACCTCGAGCCGGTTCTCGCAGACCCATGAACAGATCGGGGCGTAAGAACGGATACACCACAGTTTCCCTCAAAGCATTCTTTGCGATTTCGAGCCCAGCGATATCACCCCAGCGCACTTCATCTCCCTTCACGACGATTTCGTTCAGGATCTGTTTGGCCGCGCTTTCGTCAACGCCAGAAGGAAGGTTCCTTAGAATCGACGACTTCTTCTTCTTCCATAACTTGTCAGCGATGCTTTCTTCGGTTTCTTCCGATGCCTCGCTCGAGCTATCGACTTTGACAGGGTCCCCCTTGACTTTGCGTTCCGACGGCTTCAACTTGTTCAGCGTAGCATTTGAATGCACACTAGTACTGTGATTGACAGGAGTCTTATTCTTGAGTAGCTTCATATTCTGACTGTCGGCGTCATCTTCAGAAGTACTAGACACAGATACATGCCTTGTCATCGGTTGGTCCCGACGGCGATGTCGGGTTGCTTGCACGGGATACATGGTGCTCTGCGTCGCGACGATCGCGTCAGTGCGTCTTGTCGCCGCTTTGTGCTGGACAGGAACATCCGATGCGCTTCGCCTCTCCCACCATTCGCTAGAATCATCTGCCGTTCCAGATCCGTTAGAACGCTCCTCTTTGTGCCGCTTGGCTGGCAGCCGAGAAGGATGGTAACGATCGGGGCGAGCGGACGCATTCTCCGTTGTCTGCGATTCTAGCTGAGTTGTTGAGTTCAGTGCACTAGACGCGGCGCTCACAGACAGAAAAGATGGGGTGTTGTATGGGTACTCATCAGAGTGTCGCGCTCCGGTAAGTTGACCATTTGTAGAACCATCTATATCCTTTGGCTGAACGAGTCTTCTAGAATGGCTGTCCCATTTGGTTGGTGTCGATCTTTGTTTATATAAATGCCCTGCCGTCCTTTTAGAGTTGAGCGTGGACGTTGAAGATGGTGTTTCGGAAGGCGGTGTCCGCTGTGGACGATCTCTAGATCCAAGAGCGCTCCACGCTAGCGTTGCCGCCTTACTGGGCCCCTCAGCTGCTGGCCGCGCTGATTTTCGTGAAGGCGCGGACGCTTTCTCGCCCAACTTGGAGGACCGAAGAGTCGTGCGCATCGTGTGTTTCTCAGGACTGGGCGATCGATATGTTCGATCTGCTTTAGGTGGAACGCTAAGAGCCGGCGGTCTAGAGTTTGATCGAGTGTATGATGTAGCATCGCCAGTCTGTGATCTTTCCCCGGACTGCGGAGTTTCAGACACTGTGCGTATTGGCAACGGTGGCCGTGGTGAGACTGCAGGTCGTGACAGATCAGAATACGTAACGGATGGTATTGTGCCACTTCCAATCGAGCCCTTTGTTGTCATGGGGGAAGCGAAAGGGCTGGGCGTCTTGGATGGTCTCCCGCCTGTATCGGAGCTGGTTTCGTCGTCTCTTGAGGCTTTCAGAGCCTCTAAAAGGTCGAGTCTTTCCTTACATTGAAGCTCCAATTCCCTCAGAGCGTCGACAAGAGCCTTTTCAGTATCGGTCTGCGGTCCATAGCCGGGGTTTACCTTCGTTGCGTTGTGTTCGTATATCAGGGCGAGGGCATTGCGCCAGTGCCGAAGAGCCTCGGTCTCATCTCCCTGCAGCGCAAAGGGTCAGCTTGCTCATTGCGCGGAAACACGGAAGGAAAAAGTACTTGACTCTCATAATATACTGCAGTGGAGCAACTCAAGTAGCTTTCGTCGTACGTCTTCTGGAGAGCGGTAAATACTCGGTTACGCAACATTGCAATGGTGCTGTGCACATAGTAGTTGATATCAAAGTTGGCTTCGCTCCAAGCTGAAGAGGTGTGTACAACGGTGGTCTAAGGACGTAGCTCGCTTGTGGTATTTGGGGCCAGTCCTACTCGCTATGATGTTGCGGACAATGTTGTCAAAACTTAAAACTGCCCACCTGGATTCGTTTCTGTTAGCTACGTCCTGCGCTCGTACGCTAGCAATCTGGCTTTCGGGGGCAGAGCCTGGCTGGTGACGTAAGGGCTTGGCGCGACCAGAGTACCTAAACTTCAAGCAGGCAAGTTGGCCCTGTTGCCCGTGGCGGGGAGGGGGAACCAGATGACTTCCTTAGCTGCAAAATTCTGTACCGGTTCGACCTTGTAATGAGAACGGCAATGATACATCTGGCTGGCATTACTTGCCACTTTTTAAACATGCGCGCACAGCAGTTAACGTACCGTACAATTGCCACCTCTAGGTTTACTCTCATTTCTAACGAGTATAGTGTCAAATAACTATGAGACTTTGCGCAACCCTTCCTTGAAGGAACCAGTGCATGAGTCGCCCAGGTTACTTTACATAGTTTGGCCATTTGCTGACAGTGTCTTGCCCATAATTGAACTATGACAGTAGTACACGAATCTCACCCACTGTGCGCGGAAACACGCTCCGAAGATTATCATCATCCTCGCCGCCGCTTCGCGCTGCATCCAGTGCATCAATGTGATTCTCGAGCAGCTCAAAATCTTCGCAGAAGCGCTCAGCAGCTTCCTCTGTAATTTTGCGTGCAAGCCCGGAATCCTTAAGCCCGCCAAGACGTTCAAGAGCATCGATGTATGCTGAGGGGAGAAAGTGATCCAATTCGGCGCTCGAAGCAGAAAGCTTGTCAGTTGTAATAGAGTTGGCGCCGGAATTTGCGCGTTGCTTAATTATTGTGATCAGATCGTACAGCCCTGAACCTCGGTGGAAGAACGCTAGTTGAGAATCTGTAAGAATTTCCGCCTCTTCGTCGATTAGTGTCATCAGCTGCTCTTCCCTTTCCTTGGCTAGTTTGCTTTTCTTGAAACAGTTCGCAAGAGCCAGGCGACAGTTGATAAGATATATCGAGCTGCGTAGAGTTGGCATTGATTTCGCTAGAGCTTCACTGTCGAGGATGAAAGGGTCCACGGCTTCGGCTAGAATTTGGCCGATATTTTCCTCGCTTTCCTCGGCAGTGGACAACGATGTTTCGTAGGTGCTTAAGATGACTTGGATCTGCTTGAGGGCGTCCTGTAAGAACACTGGCGGGTCTAGATCAGAGGGCATGCTTTGGGGCTCGGCTCGAACGGCAGCAATGTGCTCCCGCAGTAGAGCCCTAAATTGTCTCATAGCCTCCTTTTCTAAACTGCGAACAGAGTGTAGTAAACTGCAACCGGGTCCAAGTAACTTGAGAAGCATAACGCCATAGAATTTGAGAAGATGCCCCAGCTTGAATGCTACTATCGAATCCTCGTTCGACTGTATAACTTGCTCTACTCGCTGACGGAGTAATCGAGCTGCGCCGGACACATCTCTGTCGACAAGATTATTCAATGTTTCTAAAGTATTGAAACCCTCGTCTTCGCCATCGGAGATGATGCGCCACAGTTCAGCATCGCGGCCGCTATTGAGACCCTTGACGAGTTCCTCGCTGTCGGCAACGAAAAGGACCTCAAGAATCTCTCTTTCACTGACTGCGGCGGAGTGAACCCACGCCAGCATATCGCCCACATAGCGGAGAGGATCATGCGCAATCATGTCTATCGGTTTGGATGCGGCAGAGCCTCTACCACTGCCATTGCCAGTCAGAGCGGTAAAGAACGAATCAGACAAAATATTTTGTCTGCCGTCGGCAAAGAAGTCGAGGCAGTTTTGAAACAACGACGGCCTGGCGGCGAGCACTGTGAGGGCCTTTCTCATGGTAGCATTCATCTGCGGGTTTTCGACATCCAGAGTCTTGAACTCCCGTTGAACCCATTTGTACAATTTTTGATAGCCATACCCGAGAATTTTCGACGACTTCTCCATGATTTCAGAAGCCAGAGTTTGTTTTTCGAAGCCGAGTAATACCTCGCATTCTTGTGTGATCCTTTTGGCTTTTGCGAGACAAGCAAAGAAAACCTCATCCACAGGCTCGGCAGCTGAAGTGAGCGCTAATTCCTCTTCATCAGATAACACAAAGCGCTCACGTAGGATTTGGAGTAGGTGTCGTTTCCCTTCGATCCCTCTTCGTTTCTCGAGCAGGGCTGATGCCTCTGCCAGAGGAGATTCCATGCCGCTGTGTGCCACGGCTACCATACGCTTCATCTTAGAAGAATCGGCATTGAGTTTCTCAAGAACTACTTTGATGTGCCTCAATTGCTATTCCGGTCAGCAATTGAATACCAGACGGAACCGATATACTTACATCCGAAACAAAGCCAAAGTCATCCAGTATCTTTCCATTCTTTTCAATCACTTCCTTTTGCAGATCCAATCGGAGTCTTCGTCTCGTTCTCCCGTCATGTTTTAGACCGCGATGATCTATCAAAGTTACAGCACCACGAAATTCCGCATCAGAGTAAGAGGCGGACAGAACTGCAGATACTTTGGTGGCGAGAGCATTGATTACCTTGTTCGATGCGACCGTGTGACCTGGAGCATCTGCTGGCTTGGAGGGTTCACAGGGAGTGCTGACGCCCGAAATCTCAGTCTGCGACATACTGATGCAGAAGGAACACAGCTATTATCTCTGCATTAATTGCTATGCGGCGTCTTCGAGATTGATAAGTAACGTCCACTGACTGGGCGCCTGATCCGCCGCAACTCTCGGTAGTTTGTTGATGGGGTTCTGTCTTCAGAACGCGAAGCTCCAGCAAAGCTGATCGAGTTCTCGGGTAATAGCGAAGAGACCAATCCTGTACAGTGAGGACAGTATTTGCATCGACGAGAGCTCCTGGAGCACCTCAAACTTCGTAGCTGGCGGCTGAAGCTCGTGCGAGCATGAACGCCTTCAATGGTGAAAGGTGCATGCGTAAGTAGGTAACTAGTTACCTAATGTATCATGTGTTGAAACATGTGAGAGCGTGCAGCGGCTGTGGGTAGCCTAGGCACCCTCTCTCTTTGTGATCAGCCCGCAAAGGCAGGTTAGCGCAAGTTCGCTAGGTACCTAGGCACTAGGTAGGTACCTAGGTAGGTTCCTACCTACCTACCTACCTACGCACGTACCTACCAACCCACCTATTCATGAAGAATGCTGCTCTAGCAATATACTTCTGCAACATCGTAAAGCACAACCGAAATCAGGACAGGCAAGCCAACTGTTGGAAACAACAGTGTCAGCGGCTTGAACTTTAACGCGTCCGAGTTGTGTCACTGTCAGATGTGCAAAATATACCTACGCGGGAGGGGGCAAGTGGGTGACAAAAAAACTAGCCCAATTTAGCGGCACCCACATACCACCACCACCACCACCTACCTCCTTGACGGCCACAATAGTCAATACGCATCTAGATACACTAAAAAAAGCAGCTTTATAAGGCACTTATTAGTTTCTAAGTAATAAAGACATTAAATTTACCTATAGTAACCTATATAAATACTATAATATCTCCTAAAGGTATAGATAATAGATTCTTAATAACCTTAATCTCTAGGCTTACTATATAACCTATAATAACCTTAATAAGCTAGAAAAAAGGGGTTAGAAGAGGGTATTAAGTAAAGCTAATTTTAATATTATTTAAGACTTATTTAAAAATAAATAAATTAAGATTTACTAGCTTTTATAAGCTATAATAGCCTTTAAAGCTACCCTTAAATATAATATCTTAGGCTATATAATTAATTACTATATAAGTAAACAAAAATATTATAAATAAATTATTTAATAGGTTAACTATATATTACTAACTTTAGCTAAAAAGAGGCTTAAGTAGGTATAGTATATATTAGCTTTAAAGCCTAAGTTAAAGAACTAATATAAGATTATTTTCTTTAATAAAAAATACTTTAGCTTTAGTAATAAAGGTAAGATATATATTATTAGAAAAAATAATTATTATAATTACTTTAACTACTTTTAAGAATACTAAGAGCTTTATAAAAAAGATATAAAATACTTTTATATTTAAATAATTATTAAATATAATTATAAAAGCCTTCTTATATAATATAAAGTCTTTAATAATATTAATAGTAAAATAAATTAGAAAGTATATATTAAGTTAATTTTAAAAGGCTTTATTAAATTATATTTAATAAAGTACTTTAAAAATATTAAGTAATTTCTAGTCTTTAAAGAAGATAATAATAGTAGTTATAAACTATTAAAAAGTAATTTTATAAAAGCCTAAAAGGATTTTATAGCTTATAGTACTTTTTTAATTACCTTTAAAGCTCTAATCTCTTATTAATAAAGAATTACTAGTTTCTTATTATAGAGGCTATTAATAAAAAGCCTTATTAGAATCCTAATTCTCTTTAAAAGCTAGCTAAAGAAGCCTAGGTATAGCTCTCTTAGGGTATTATTAATATATAAATTAAATCCTTATCTATATAGCTTAAAATTATATTAAGCTTTATAGTAAATAAACTACCTTCTAATTTACTATTAAATACTATTTTTCCTTTATTATTTACTATTAAATTAAAGTTATTATAAGTAATTACTCTTTAAGGGTAGTTTTAGTTAAAATAGGCTAGTTTTTTTATTACCTATATAGGGGGGTGTTTTCTAATATACCCTCTAATATATATTACTATCTAGTATATTTTTTTAGTATATTATAAGGAAATTGCACTTTTTAGAATATTAAAAAAAATTATAATATCCTATCTAGGAAGCTTAAATCTATAGTAATATACCTTAGTAATATTTTATTTACGAAGAACTATTAGAGGGCATGTCAGAAAACACCCCCCTTCCGCGTAGGTACCTACCTTTTAGTGTCGCCCCACATCAGCAGGCACATGAATGAAGAGCACCAGTCATGAAGGGTACCGAGCATGTATTTGGGTATCAACATCTTTGACTCTTCTCAGCAACACTTGACTTGGCCATCAAGCTCGCGCACCGGAGGCCCACACTGATTTTGGTAGTATGATCAAGTGATAACGGCAGAAGCAAGTTGAAGCTTGTACATGCTGTCATCAAGCTACTCTCAATACTTACTGCTGCGTAACGTCTTGCACCTGGCAACTGGCAGTTTGACGATTTGCTTGATCATATCACCTTGGAGCTCGCCTTCTGCCACTAACAAACTGCCATCTTATCGCTGCATCTCTCGTCGAAATGGGAGCCTCACCTCGCAACCTCACCAAATCGTTCTACGAACAACTTCGATCTCGAGACGATGACCTTCCCGACGACCTCGAAGCCGGGCAAATGCGAGCGCTCGACGAAGAAAATCTAAAGCATGAATTTCGAGACGTGCAATTCGACAAAACCAAAACTCAGGAAAGTCGCACAACAGTAGCAAGCAGGATGGCCGAACGCGGCCCGAAAATCGGTTCCCCCTCATCGAAAGGACAGTACAAGAGTAAACAACTACCAACTACGTGGGCAGCTGACGATGAAGACCCGGATGAAGATGTTCCAGCTTCCCTTCTAGTTGAGAACAATGATGAGCCAATTCAACGGTTAGAATCCATGTCGAGAGCGACTGCTCAGGGTGCAAAGGAATCTATCCCTTGGAGGGCATCACCACCTGGGGCACACACAGCCCAGTGGGAGACTGTCAAACGGCAGCATCGATTGTACCGAGATGATGCTATTAAAACCTTCCAACTTCATTCTATGGTTTCAGGAACTCGGCTTGGAGGTAGGCGGGAGCGCGCGCTGTGGAGATGGGTAAACACGTCCAGCTTAGACAGCTTCATGAGAGATGTTTATGATTACTACGAAGGGGGAGGGATGTGGTGCATTCTCTGTTCGAACGCGCTATGGCTTCTGTATGTGCATTTAGTCCTACTTCTCTAGAAGCTGTTGCTGACTCGCCTAATTGTTAGGGAAACTTTGTTCGTCGCAATCCTTCTCACGTTTCTCAGCCAATGTGTGGACTACGGGAAAGTGCCGAAGAGCAAGTCTCTTGAGCAGGTAATTGTCCCGCAATGTACTCGAAAAATGTCGGGCTTCTGGAACCTCGGAATATGGCTTTACTCGTTTTTCTTCATATGGAAATCTGTTCAATATTTCTTCGAAATACGCCGCCTGATACATATCCGAGAGTTTTATATTTGTTTACTGGAAATTCCCGAACAGGACATGCAGACTGTGTCTTGGCAAGACATTGTTGCCAGAATTATGGCCTTACGAGATCAAAACCCCAAGACGGCAGCAAATATACCAGCAAAGCTACGACGCTTCATGGGCAGTCAGTCAAAGGAGAGGCTGGACGCTCACGATATCGCAAACAGACTTATGCGGAAAGAGAATTACCTCATTGCCATGATAAACAAGGATGTGTTGAACCTCTCCCTGCCGATTCCCTTCCTGCATGGCAGGCAGCTCTTCTCCAAGACCATGGAGTGGTACTTACATTACGGTATTCTTGACATGGCTTTCAATGAACTCGGTCAAGTGCAGCAAGATTTCCTCCGGGCTGACCGTCGAAGAGTCTTGAGTGAGAAATTGCGACAGAGACTCTTCTTTGCAGGGGTATTGAATCTTGTTTTCGCCCCTGTCGTCCTTGCATACGTTATCATTGTCTACTTTTTCACCTATTACAACGTCGGTAGCACCATCCTCATCTGACTTGCCAGCTACTAATTTTGGGCTTAGGAGTACCAAAAGGACCCGAAACTAGCCGCTGCGAGGAAATATACGGCCCTTGCCGAGTGGAAGTTTCGAGAATTTAACGAACTACCGCACATTTTTTTTGAGAGGCTGCACATGTCTTTCCCATTTGCAACACGATATGTGGATCAGTTCCCGAAGAGGATGACTGAAGATGTAGCGAGAAGCGTAGCATTCATGTCAGGTGCCATCACCGCCGTGCTAGCAGTGTGCACAGTGCTTGATTCGGAGTTGTTTCTTGGCTTTGAAATAACCAAGGACAGAACTGTGCTATTCTACCTGGGCATTTTTGGAGCAATATGGGCCATGACTCGCGGCATGGTCTCAGAAGAGGCTGCAGTCTTTAACCCCGAGTATGCTCTGCGCAATGTCATCGAATATACGCACTACATGCCCGATCACTGGGAAGGTAGGCTGCACAGCTTCGAGGTGAAGAAGGAATTTGCCGAGCTTTATAAAATGAAGGTCGTGATTTTCTTGGAGGAAGTCATGGGAATCATCACGACTCCAATGCTCCTCTTATTCGCTCTTCCAAAATGCAGCGATCAGATTGTCGATTTTTTCCGCGAGTTCACCATTCATGTTGATGGGCTTGGGTATGTTTGCTCTTTTGCAGTGTTTGATTTCAAGAAGGGGGTGGGCAACGGCGGTAAAAGAGGCACTGCACTCGACATTCGAGAGGATTATTACACCACGAAGCATGGAAAAATGGCAGCATCATATTATGGTTTTCTGGACAACTATGTCATCAATCCACGGACGGGTATTCCTGGTCATCTGCCCCCCGGGGCGAGGCAGCATTTCCGGCCGCCTCCCGCATTTCCAAGTCTAAATTCGCCAACATTGGCAGCAGACTTGCATATGTCCCAAGTTGGACGACCCGAGGGACGGCGGGAGTTTTCCTACTCGCCTGGCGATAAATTATCAGCGAAAGGGCCATCGGGAATAGTGCAACCGTCACCGATGGCATCGATACTTTTGGATCCACGTCATCATCCCCCAAGTGGTGGACGTGGCGCCAAAGGATTGCCAAAGTCGCGCGCATCTCGATATTTGCGACTCGGAGAGGGCAAAATCACTGAAGAGACTGGACAGATCATGCCGAGGGACATACATCCCAAAACAGACGATGAATTCGAAGATGATGCTGACGACGGTGAAGGGATCCTAGGCGAGTCCGTATGGGAGACATCGCCGGCCAAAGGGTTAAGTCGCGAGAATAGTTCAGCGAATACCGCTGAGCCGGATGCAGGCGTCTTGGGGCTGATCTACCAGTTGCGGCAGACGCAGCACGGTCGTCGCGGCAGCAGCATGGTTTAGGCTGACCATCAATCTGACAATGCCTTATTTCCAGGCAGAAGGAGTTTTTTGCAAAGATGCACTAACGTCTGGTGGTATCAGAATACGAGAAGTCATGCGCACCGCTGCAATAAGACGAAGTGATAAGATCCTTGTGATACTGTGACTGAGCACGTAAACCTTAGCTGGAGCTGCAGCTAAGTCAGTACCTTGGTAGACGTTGGAAATGATATTAATAGTGTTGGCGTTCTCGGCTGAGGATGGCTCGCTGTGGAGGGTTCGGCGTTACGACGAGCCGACTTTTGGAAGGGTCGTCCTGCCCAATAATAGTGCCCGCCTTGCAGCCCCTGCCAGGGCTGGACAATCACTAAATGCAGCTCATTTACGACGGAGTCATGTTCTGCAGGAAAATGCGATTATCATATGCCTTCCATCTGACAGTGTCTTAGGAAGGCTATTGTCGTTCTGTATACAACAGCGTACAAGCCAGACCAGACGCCGCCAGGTACACGTGCCACGCACCCACCTCTCCAAGGAGGGTGCTACATAACTATACAGCCTATATACCTTATAGCCTAAAATTTTTAACCTCTTAACTTTAGATTAATATTATTAAACTATAATAAATACTAAAAATACTAAAAATAAATTATTATTATTATTATATTAATAACTAATATATTTATTATTTTATAATTTTATAATTTCTTTTTTATTTTATTTTAATTTAATTATTATTTTTATATCTTTTAATAATATATTAAACTTTAATTAAGCTATTTTATTTTTATATTATTATTTAATAATATTTAATAATAATTAATATATTATTATAATTACTTTTAGCTTTTAATATATTTTTCTTATAATTCTCTTTTTTTATTTAAAACTAAATAAATTTTATAAAATTAAAATTAAAATTATTATTAAGTTATAATAGTTATTAGATTTTATATTAATTATAAATATACTATTAAATATAATAATTATAAGTTAAAGTCTTATTTTCTTATATAAAAGTCTTAAACTTTATTATTTTATAAGCTTTAATAAAAAAAATTAGTTTTAATATTATAATCTTTATTTAATATATATATTAATTAATATTTTTTTATTATAAAAAAAGCTTATTAGTAATTTTATTTTAATATTATATAAACTTTTAACTAAATAATAACTAAAAACTAAAATACTTTATTAATATATAAAGTTTTTATTTAATTCTTATTAGTTTTTTTTAGTTTAATATTAAGCTTTTTTATATATATTTTAATAAAATATTAGTTTTTAATTATATTCAATAATTAATAATAATAAAACCTTTTTTAGTTATATATAAAATAATCTTAAAATATAAATTTAAAAATACCTTTTTAATATTTTTAAATATAACTTTTAAAATAAACTTTATTTAATTATTATTAAATATAATAACTATAATATTAATAAAGTAAAATAATAAATATCTTATTTAACTAAATTATCTTTTTTTAGTTTTTAAAGGTTTAGTTTTAATAATTAAGGTATTATTATAATTAGTCATTTTATATTTTTTATATTAAATCTAAGTTTTTAATTAATTTTACTTTTTAAAAATTAGTTTTTTTAAAAATTAATTATATAATAATTATTAATATAAAAATACCTTTAATAGTTAATTTAATAACTAATCTAATATTAGTCTTTTTTATTATATTTATTTTTTTATATTTTAATAATAATTAAATCTTAATTTATAAATATATACTTTAATAACTAACTAAACCTTAGAGTATCTTTAAAATACTTATTTTTTAATATTTCTAGTAATATTATTAAGTTAAAGCTTTTTTTAATAATATTAACTTAAATATGATTAATTATATAACTAATAACTTTAATTAAAAAAAGTAATTTTAATACTTAATTTCTTATAAAATAATACTTTTAATACTATAATTAATATCTTTATAACTAGCTTTATTTATAGTAGTATTTAAGTAGTAGTAGTAGTAGTAGTAGTAGTAGTAGTAGTAGTAGTAGTAGTAGTAGTAGTAGTAGTAGTAGTAGTGGTTATAGAGGTTATAGAGGCTTTAATAAAGCTAGAATATAAAAAGGGGGCCTTTAGTGCCTAATTTAGTGGCGTACGCCCCCTAGTCAATTTGATAAGGGTAATACCCCTGTAGGACAGCACTTTTCGATTCTTCCTCCTTACCTAGCTAACTTAAATCGAATAATTCTCTTTACTATGAGATTATGTAGTAGGTAAAATGTAATATTTAATTCGTTCTATATTTTTACTACTCTCTTAGACGTAGTTATCGGTGTGATGATTAAGGCCTTGCTGATGGCCTAGCTATGGCGGTGTTTGGCTACGACCAGATTCTCAGCGTGTACAGCGGCCCCCCCGGACTCCGAGGCCGCGAACGGAGAAACGCAAAATTTCCTAATGTAATACCTACTCTGGACAACCTCCATTCTACTGAAGCATTGCCATCCGCACACACGACTATACAGGTTGCATACTGATCATCCATCTTTCGTCTCTGCTTCGAGATTTATTATCATTTGCACTCGCCTCAGATTTCTCGAAGCCGAGCTCTCTCCGACGACCGGCTAATCTGCCGGCTCTTGGTACATCCGACAGGAACGCCACCCTTTATCACCCTCAACTATTCTCGAAACCTCGACATCGGCCACTTGACTCCTGATACTGCGACAGCTTGCGCGCGTGTAAATTGACACCTTCCTCGTAGCCGTCAACCTGGCGGCCATTGATTCAAAAGCCTTCGGCCCAGCGCCTACAGCTGTGGCCGAAATGGCCCTGCCAAATGCCGAAGCCGATGAATATGAGTACGACGATAGACATGGAAACACTGCTACCACCAAATGCTGACTCTCTTGTTTCAGCTATGAGTCACTACCGCCCAATTTCTCTCTGCTTCAAAACATGGCGGCCGGTGCCTTCGCTGGCATAGCCGTACGTCTTGCCCCTTTGCTGGAGTCGGCGCCTTTCTGCGCCTCAACAGCGTCGACTTGTGTGCAATCGCCGCTAACTGGAGAACCAGGAGCATACCGTCATGTATCCCATTGATGCAGTTAAGGTATGCCTCTGTCTCTCAGAATCATCACTTCTCCGTCTTGTTAATCTATTACCAACAGACTCGCATGCAAGTCCTCAATCCGAACACGACTATTGCCTACCGTGGCGTCCTTCGTAGCACATATCAGATGGCGGCTGGTGAAGGCTTCTTCAGTCTTTGGCGAGGAATGTCTAGCGTTATCGTCGGAGCTGGTATGATGTCCGACATGTTTGACCACTTGGAACGGTGCACTAACTCATTACACAGGTCCTGCGCACGCAGTGTACTTTGCTACGTATGAGGCTGTGAAACATGCCATGGGAGGAAATCAAGCAGGCGTTCACCACCCACTTGCAGCCGGTGAGACTCTAGCGGTGGCTTCTGCAGTGCGCAGCGAATTTTGCTGACATGCTCCTGTCCAGCTACTAGCGGTGCGGCAGCCACGGTTGCCAGTGATGCTTTTATGAACCCTTTTGATGGTAATCAATTCTACAGCTCAACATCTCCGAACACGATTTAACCATTGCGATGCAGTCATTAAGCAACGAATGCAGATACAAAATTCCAGCAAGATGTACCGCTCGATGGTAGACTGCGCCAAGTACATTTACAGAAATGAAGGCATCGGCGCCTTTTACCTCTCATATCCTACAACGCTCTCCATGACGGTCCCATTCACGGCCCTGCAGTTTCTCGCATACGAATCGTTATCGACCACACTGAACCCCACAAAAAAGTACGACCCTGTCACTCACTGCTTGGCTGGCGCTATTGCGGGTGGTTTCGCAGCTGGTCTTACAACTCCTATGGACGTCATCAAGACAATTCTGCAGACCAAGGGCACATCCACGGACCCCGCTGTACAGAATATCAACAGCTTCGTCGGTGGCTGCCGCTTGTTGTACCAACGCGAAGGCTTCCGCGGCTTCTTCAAGGGTGTCCGGCCCAGAATTGTGACGACCATGCCTAGCACCGCCATTTGCTGGTCAGCCTATGAATTCTCCAAGTATGTGGCAATGGCCATAGGCTTAGGCTCTTCCCCCAGATCGCGCCTCTTTTAGCCTTGCACGTTAACTTACCACCGACAACAGGGCTTATTTCATCCGACGCAACGACAGGCAGTAATGCTACTGCAAGGACAAGATGCAAACATCATACCAACATCAGAGTATGACTGCGGCGTCTCATTTATATTATCTCTTGGCCAGTGTGGCGACAGGATGATGCCCACTGGTCTTTGTATTCTCCTTGATGCCTCAAAAAGTTTATTCCGAGGGTTACCAGCCTGTCGCATTTGGCCATTCCACAACTGCTGGGGTTATGTATAGACGATGATTAGTCTCACTCAACGATCATGTTGGGTTTCTGAGGATTGTGCAGTTAGAACTGTTTACGTGTACTTTTCCACCATATCTTCTCGTCGTCGTTGCATCTTTTGATAATGTCTTGAATCCAATTTGCCCATGTCTCAGCGATGCCTCTAGTACTGCTGCCAGCCGTCAGACGTCGCGCATTGTGTTTGCAATGTGTTTGCAAATGTATTGTGTTCTCTGGTGAATCTAGCCAAGGGGCAACATATGCGTACAGTCGCAAAAACTGGCGGGATGAGAACCCTCAAGTTTCGAATTATCTTCATTCATGTGCGCTAGATATATAAGTCTTCCCCTCAGAAACCAAAAGGGCCTCCACCGCCATGGAAGTTGAACTTGAATTGCTGACCTCCGCCTTGCTGGAACATGAAAGGGTGTCCGCCTCCGCCTGTAAAGGGGCTGCCTTGGAATGGGTCCCCTCTTTCTTGGGAGTTGGGGTCATCGCCTCGGTCGAATCGGGCACGAAGCTCAGGGTCACTAAGCACTTCGTAGGCCTCATTGATTGAGGCCATTTTCTTTTCAGCATCTTCCTTCGCTATGCCTTGCTTGTGAGCCTTGTCAGGATGAAACTGCTTGGAGGCCTTGCGGTATGCCGACTTGATTTGTCTCTGGTCGGAGTCACTGTCCACACCCAGAACCTTGTAGTAGTCCTTGGTTTTGCTTCGCTTTAGGGCGATCTGGACTTTATTCATGAGAGGATCTATCTTATCTCGCTTGCCGGGGTGAAGTTCGATGGCACTTTTGAGCGTATGTATGGCAGCGTCGAATTCATCCTTCCTCATCAGACCCTTTGCTCGGTAGAGCATGCCCCAGAATGATTCTGAATTAAGCTCAAGAGCTTCCTCGCAGTACTTCTCAACATTTTTATGGTTACCCTATCATTGGAGCTGTTAGCGGCTGCCCGAATATCGGCCATTGCGGGCAAGATCCATACCTCCAAGTAGGCATGACACGTCATGTCAATGAGCTTGCCATATAATTGTGTGGGTGCCTTTTCAGGGATGAAGCCGGACTGCCTCAAATCTTCTGTTTGCTCCTTGAGTAGCGTGATCAAGCCAATCTCTTCTTCAGTACCGACAAGCGTTCTACCGGCAGTGGTTGTCTGGCCTCTGTTGAGTTGTCCCATGGCCCGGTTCACGCCCTTCTGAAACGCCTTTTCTTGCTTGTGAACCTTCTTGCAGATCTTGGAATCGGGATCGGAGTGCAGACATTTGCGGATCTGTGTCAAGCCCTTGTCTTCATTTCCGAGAGCGTAGAAGGAAGTAGCAGAAATAAGAACATGAGGTGACGTGTCGCCTGGTCTCAAGAGCAGAACGTATTGCAAATCGCCCATTCCCTCTTGAATCTCGCCACGAGCAAACAGACACTTGGACCGCAATTCACGCAGAGGCGGATGTCTAGAAGCAACACTGATGGCAATGGTAGCATGATTAACACAGTCATCCCAGCTCTGGTTCTTGGAGGCCGCGACTGCGGCGGCGGCGGCGCGCTCGGCTCCCGCCAATTCAACTAGCTCGGGAGAATCCGTTGCTTTCTCTGCCGCAGCATATTCGGCCTTGGCGCCTTCCCAATCTGCAACTTTTGACTTCAGATTGGCCAACTGGACGTGAGCTCCCTGAAAAGTGGGCTTGAGAACCAGCACCTTGTTGAAATCGTCGGTTGCTTGATTGGCCCGGCCGATGGATAAGAACGCAGTCGCACGCTTGAATATGGTCAGATAATTATTGGGATCCCGTGCTATGGCGGCATCGTAGTAGAGGATGGCTTCGCTGGTCTCGCCTTTGGCTAGGTGCGTCTGCGCATTGCTCAGCAGGGACGAGACTGGCAGGTCAGCCGGGATATCATGCGCAGATAGCGCAGTAGCCGTTGCGAGGACACTGGCAGTGATGGCCAGGCGAGAGAGAGGGAACCACATGTTGGCGCCCTCGTTCTGATGGCAGGCTCAGATACGGGGGATATTCGGTGTTGTCGCAGGGTGAATTGATATTCGGCCAATCGCAGTTGGTCGCAGGCGCAACTTGTAGAAGGTACTTCGGGCGCTCGGTAATGAGAATCACAAGAACAGAGTATTCTCGCAATCGTTGAAGCAATGCAATAGAAAGTCTTGCTTGCGCGGGTGCAAGTGTTGAAGGTGGGATCGACTGCCCACGCTGTCCTTATGTATGTCACTAAGATAATACTACCTAGTTGCCGCCCGCCCATCCAAAGGAGAGAAAGTGGCCACTATGGCGCTTCTCATTTGCTGTGGCGCCGCAAGGCTGGCTCCACTAGTGAGTGTATAAAGTTTCCTCATGATTATTATCAGTGTCATATGAATTTTTCGGATGGCTCACGGCTGAAGAAAGAAGCGAGCGAGATGTATCTCAGCCTTTCAGGGAATTATAAGACGGGCTTTTTTGTGTCTTTGTATTCCGGACCTATGCAGCGAAGAGGTTCAGTTACAAGGGGGCACTGATTGCGAACCCCTGTTCTACCTCGTAAGCTAGCCAGCTCAGCCTTGGTTCACCTGGCATCTCACCCACCCATCATCATCGCGCTGGCACTCCTGTCATCTCTACACTGCTCTGAAAACTAGCCCACAAGACTGGGGCTGATTTCTCGACCGCATGTTGAAGCAAAATAATCATTGATGCCCCTTCACTCTCCTGAATAGCTACAGTCTCCCGCCCCGACGACCCGCCTCCCATGGCTCATCTGCGCGATAGCCTCGAGGCATGCGCCCCTGCTTCCATGTTTTCACCATCAGTTGCTCGAATTGCCGCCATAGAGGCCAGAGACTGGTCGTTTGTCGACTGCTGGGTTGCTTCGCAGTTCCCAGGCCGCCAGCCACCGCCTTTTGAACGCAATGCCGACACTCTGAAAACGCTACTTGCCCTCATCTCCTTCAAGGACACTGCGTCCGAGGAAGCTCGATTGTTGGCGCGGATTGACCGAGATGCCCTCGGTTCATTGTCTCGAAGCCAAGACTCGGAAGCCACTGCTAGACCAGTCACTATGGCTGCCATGAGAGATTTGTTACTGAATATTATCGAACAAGAGCTATCGAAAGAAGGAAGTATCGCACTTCATTCCATGTCTTCTATGGCAGTATCTGCTAAAGTCACCCTACCTGAGCCTGAGCAGCTGGGCGCCGCCATTCTCGATACCCAGTCTGCTATCTTCGAGACAGAGCAGATGACATTCCGAGCCGAAGCTTTGGAGCGCCACATTCACTCAGAAATTGTGCGCACAAATAGCCTGTTGAACACGATACATGATGATATCTGCAACTTGCCAGAAGGTCTTGGCAAACGCAACCTCGAGATGCAGCGCACTGTGAAGGCAATGACGGCCCAATTACCGGAATATGAGAGAAAGATGGCGACACTGAAGGCCTCTGCTGCTTCCTCGGATCTCACTGTACACGGTATCATCCAAGAGGAACAAGATTATCTTGCCTTGTTAGAAGAAAGAAAATTGCTCGAGAAGCGCATATCAATATTCCGCCGTCTCCCGAGCGATCCAAAATTAGCAAGGAATGAGTTGAATGCCTACCGCAAAGAGCTTCAAGGCATCACGTCGCGACGAGATGCAGCTTTTCAAGGTCTAGTCGAGCGCGAAACACCGGTTAAAAGGAGGTGACCGAATAGGCTCACTGCAGAAGAAATGCCGTTGTGCAAACTACCACAATGTAGCTAACTAGAGTCTTCTGACCGACTGCGAATTCTCTTAAGTATTGCGCTTATTCCTGCCGGAGACTGCGCCTCCTAGCCTCCCGAATTGCCTTCCCAAGCCAGATTTCTTTGCCGCTGGCGCGTTCGTATCTTTCTGAGGGGCTGGATTACCAGAAGTAGCTCTGCCATCCTTTCCTCGAATGTCGAACGAGCCATCGCCTATCCTGAGCTCGCCAATACCAATACTGGGAACCTCATCGATATCCTTATTCTGCCTTTGTACTCGGCGAGCTTTTTCCTGAACACTGCGAAACTTCTCCAATAGTTCCACCCAGCGAATGCCGCCTTCTTCACGCCCCTTCAGACGATTTGGCCTGTCATAGCCAGAGCCGCTAGACAAAGTCGTCGCACTGGACATCGTTAGAGCACATAATGTTATTATCATTATGTCTTGGACGGCGCGGTGCTAACTCACCTGCGAGGGGCCGCATGCAGATACCCAATAGCGCTGACGCTGTTGAGCCGATTTTTCAGTGCCGCAAATGCTGAAGATTGTGGCAAGAGCATGAGGATTCCATACATGCATTTGTATAGGTACGGGTACTTTTCTGGTTCGAGCAATTGCAAGCGAAGGTCTGTTGTATGGAATTAGGTGAATAATCAGATTGAAGCAAGTTCCATCAAACGTACAAGTGAAGACTGGGGATTCGACAAGTTGCACCAACTTGTCGACTTGGATGAGGATATTGACAGTCATGTCTAATTCACCGCTTGAAGTATGTGTTAATGGAAACAGTGAGATGATATTTGGAGAGTAATAATCTTACAAAATCTGAAGTAGATTATATGCCTGTTCATAAGCCTGTGCAAGCAGACAAAGCGAAAAGGTGGCGACTGCATTGTAACACCAGGACCGGAACAGAGCGACGAACAGAGTTTGGCCATCCTATTAAGGTATGAGTATTTCTGTAGTGCGAATTAATTGTTCATGGAAGCCGTACCTTTGTTTCCAGGTTACGCAGCCTCTTGCGTACTTCTGCGAGCTGTGGAGCGGTGATGAGATTATTGTTAAGATTCTGGACCATGATGCTCGCAAATTCAACATCCTCTTCTTTTTCGATGCAATCGGCGAGGGTACGGTAGATCCTTTCCGGGCTGAGGCTGATGCAGAGTTGCCGAATAATCAGATTTCCTCGTATTTCCAACAGCTCCCGATCTGTCGAAAAAAGCTGCAGCAAGTTGACCATGAAATACGCAAAATAGTCATCCTCGCTGTTTCGAGAAATCTGCGAAAGCAACTGCAGGTCCTTTGTGACGACAGCATCCGAGGGATCAGACAAGGTTTTCAACAGAGCCGGGAACGTGCCGTCGTTGAATGCGAGGACCTTTCTAGGTGCTTTTCTATGAAGCATGATTAGCCACGTCAAAGCTGCAACTCGAGTAGCTTCGTGATCGTTCAAGAAAAGCAGAGTCAGAGAATTCACAGCCGCAGTATAGTCCAAGTCAGGTTGAGCTTGAGGTATTTCCGCGAGTTGCGCAGACGCGGTACGACTGTGCGACGGCGTGAGGTTCTGACCTGGGTCTCGGAAGCTCGATATAGATACTCGGTTGCTTCCAGCTGCTTCATGCTTCTCAAGCGGCGAATTGAGCTTAGAGCTGTATACTCCTGGCGCCGGTGGGCCAGAAAGGGGCGAGCCAGACTCATCCGTCAACGAGGCCACGTAATCCATCAAGGAGCTATTCACTCTTGTAGCAGCTATCTGGACTGCATCTTTGCTACTGGCCATCGCAGGCAGCATGTGCGCCAGGATATCTGGCGTAAATAGCAGGACTTCTTCCGGGCAGATGTCAAGAAGTCCCACAATCCATCTCAGGGCTTCTAACAGACTGTCTTCTTCTGTTGAGAGGATCAGCTATGAATTCATCAGGCGCGGAAGTGAAAGGACTTACCAAGGGGTGACTCTAGACTTGCAGTTAGAATCTCCAGAATCGCTTTAAAGTTGACTTCGACGTCTTGCCCGGGAATCCAATCATCCTCACAACTATCGTCACAGGCCTCGTCACTCAAATCAGTTTCCAGCTCATCGCCTTCCTCTGGCTCTGGCCGGTAGCTTCCGCTGTCCAGTGACTCTTGTCGTTTTCTCTTTCCACCTTCACGAGACTTTTTGCTCTCCTGTATGCCTTTCTTGACACGGGAAATCCGCTTGATTTCACCCATGAATTTGTCCAGGCATGTGTGGGTCGCAGTTCTCACATCGATATTCTGATCGCATAGAAACTTCAAAAGACCGGAAAGAAAATCGGGAAGATAAGTTACCAACTCCAAATCAGGGATCGAGTCGAGCAATGTGATCCAGCCGACGAGAAATTGGCGTGTGAATGGGTTGGAGACCCATATGCGTTCTTTTAGCAGAGGAATGAATTTTGCTAAAGAGAATGCAGTCGGGAGGTGTGCACGCGAGTTCTCTGGGTCGGCTTTGTCATTCTCGATAACTGGCGGTGCTTCGAGCACAGAGATGTATGAGGCGGCAGACTCTGACACGATGTCTTTGACGAGCCGGTCTAGTAGTTCTGCCCCATTTTTGACAGAAAGTTCTGAATCGGCACCAAGCTATTGGAAAGAGCTGATTAGAGGAATAAGACGGCGCGAAAGTGACGGGTTCAGACCTTGCAAAGTTGATCGAATATGTTGTTAAAATATATCAATATTTCCCCTTTGGCAACTTTGGCAATGTTGTACATAGCCTCACATGCATAATATCTCACTCGCGCATCCTGATCAGTGAAGCAGGCCAACACAGGCGGCACAATCTTCGCGAGGTAGCGAGGAAGTTCCTGCGATGAGTTTGGTCAGAGAATACTTGCGGGCGGGCAGTCAAGCAGCAATCTCGTCGATTAAGCACTTTTGAGACTATCCCAAGCTTTATCAAGCAAAAGAAACGAAAGAGCTCTCGCTTGAGGCGATGGAATAGTGCGAGTGCGAATGAACGACGTTACGTACTGGGCCCAAGGCGATAGCGGCCGCAGCCAGGCCAATCAAGCCGCCATTTCGAGCATGCGGCTGGTGCACCGCATATGCGTAATCATTACAGAGTTGCTCGAGTATGTCGTGGACTCTCTGATAATCTTTGCTGGCTACTAATTCGCGAATGACTCTCTCGAGCCTGCATCACATGATTAGCATCATTTCTCAGCCAAGGTTGGGCGCAGTGACGCGGGCGGCATCGTACTCGAGCGCGCCAATTTTGCGCTTATCATAGAGCTTGTCGTTGAGGGCACGTTGAATACTAGTATCCATGATCCACGCTGCTTTCATCGCTCGCGATGCAACAAGGGAAAATGGGATGTAGGTGCTCTTTGCCGCATGGATGCTTGCTACAACGTTCACCAGTAGGTAGCGCTAGGTACTACCCAGGTAGTTTAAGGTAAGCGACGCCACTGGAGACGCTGCTCAGGTCGCCCACTCGCCTCCTCAACGGCCCATACCGTGCATCCAAATAATTTCGCTCACGACCTAAAACCACACTAAAATATCTAAATTTAAACTACTAAGATCATAAGAGCTAGTAACCTAAATTTTAATTTTAATAATTATAGTTAAACTCTTTACTAGTTAAAGTATATATCTATTCTTAATAAATTTTCTTAAAGTTTTTATAAATTATAATATTTAAGTAAAAAACTAGAAAATAATTTTATTAGTAAAATCTACCTTTTTTAGCTTTTATTAACTTAATTAAAAGATTTTTAATTTATTAAAATAAATAAAAATATAAATAATTTTTTTTATTTTATACTTAGACTACTTTTCTAATTTTAGATATTTATTATATAATTTATATATTAACTAAATATCTTAAAACTTTAGCTTATAAACTAGGCATTTTAGTGGGATTTGGGGTCGCGAGCGGACTTAGTTCAGACATACTGTAGCACGCGGGATAGCAGGATCGGCTGATCCACGCTAACAAGAGGGCATTGGCCACCGGTCACCAAACACGGCAGCTGTGACATTGTGGAATTAGACAGTACCTATTTTGAGAGAGCCATTCTGCGTATATATACTATGAAACTTGATCCAAATTAACTGTCGCAGATTCATGACCTTGGGCATACTTCCGCCCTCTATACTTGCAAAAAGACGTTCGAAAGCGCGGCCTAATCCAACCAATGCCGCGGTATATGCAGCATGAGACCGGTCTAGCTAATCAATGAAAAATCGGAATAGCGGTAATTAAGGCTTCGAACCAGTGCGTACCAAAGTCCTCCTCGCTATTAAGCATGACCGTAGAAATCGCCGCTGTTTACGATCGTCTGTTGGCACTTGGAAAAAATGGCGGCTTGCCGAGAGACTTCTGCGAGGCGGCTTATGACTTGCTTGTTTCCATCAGCAAACCCGAAGTAGGCATAAGGAATGCCCACTTCGTTGCAGAACTCAATGACGAGCTTCTGCGCCTTTCGGAGATTGTGGCGGGGCATCCTAGGAAACATGTGATGAATGGCTTGGAACTGCAAGCCGCCGTGAACAAAGTCCAGCCAAGGAGGGCAGTCTACATCCATAGTCGTTCGAAGCATACGCTGTGGAAAAGATTCTTGCGGCCCCAGGTCGGCGGTACTCATGGCGAAGTGGGATAAAACAATTTGTACGTGCAATGGCGACGAAGCAATATGGCTGATCATGACAAACGTGAATCGTGACCATGCGTCAGGAATAGATTTGTATACCATGAGGTACCCAAACCAGTACCAGAAAAACACATGTCCAGCAAGCTCCACCCAACGATGCCAAGCAGAAATGCCCTTCTTCGGGCCGCGTCCAGTAAGTAGAAATTGCCAGGATAGAACATAAAGGTTGAACCGACCGAGAGCGAGGAAAGGGTAGTACGTCCAAGCCTGGATCCGTAGGAGCACTTTGGCGGCAGAGTCGTATTTCATGATTCGATCGTAATAAGTTGAGCGCAAACTAGCCAGGAGGCGGTGCGAGACAGCAAATAGTGGCATGTGCTCGATATCAGGATCGTGCTCGGGAGCATTGGTTACGATATGGTGGACATTATGGTTATTCTTCCACCAACCCATAGAAAGTCCGCCAATATAGTCTGCAATGAGAATACCAAGCAGTGAATCGACCTGGTAGTTGTGCGTGATGCCAATATGACCAGCGTCGTGAGCAGTGAAGACCAACTGGTGCCACATCAGGCCCAGACACAAGCCACTCAAGAAGTATTGGCCATATTTTAGACACAGCAAAGAGCCACAAAATAGCGCAAGATATCGGCAGCATTCTATGGCGTATGCGGATTTGCTTGTTACCATGTAGCCCTCGTCAATCAATCGTTGGTATAGCGCCCGGTACTTGGCGATAACATGGGCCTGTGTTGCAACATCAGGCTGTGGATACTTTTCCAAGTCCAGCTTGATATGCTCGCGCGTCAGAATATCAAGATATGACATCCCATCCATTTCAGAATCAGCGCGTGTATTATAAGAGACAGAGGCAGGTCGATCTCCGTGTGAGGCCTGTCTGTGTTTGATACAGTGTCCCTCCGTGTCGAAGATTGGTGATGGTGGTCGGGATGACACACTTGAACTCGATCCCTTTGGACTGAATAGTCCGTCTTGTGATTCTTCTATCTCACTGGCGCTTCGGAAGGTACCGCCTTGAATTGGCGGTCGAAAGTTATTCCAAGGTGATTGGATTCGGCCGATGCGGTATCGTTGCATTAGCTGAACGGACTCATCCGAATGAAGTCTATATTTGAATGTCAGAGCACCATTCGTAAACATACGCCTTGGGTATGGAGAACATACGCTTTAACTTCATCAGTGGCATCTCTGCCCACCATATGCAAAATTGAAATTTCGCCGCCGGGGTGGTATTTTAGCCAAGCATCAACTTTGAGGACAAAATTGTCCACGAGGATGATCTTTCGTCCATCGGCTATCATTGCTTCGACCTCGTCTCGAGACATACAAGGCAAAGTTCTGGACTTCATTGTCTTCTCTGATAAGCCGCCAACGGCGGCCCTTGACTGCGCCGACTGCATGGTTGCGCTCCGCTCAGAGACCTCGAGAGTCGCGCTTGACAAAGCTCCTGGTCGAGAAACTGCGGTCGAAGGCTTTGCCTGTCAATTCAAATTGATAGCTGTAGATGGATTGATTTTCACCTCGGGGTCTTGAAACGAACATAGGCGGCGGACTGTTAACGTACGAGCGGCAATGAGTGTTGCGTGGTGTTCAGATTCGGGATGTGAAGGCCCCACTGAGCTGCGCCATGAACACGGGCACGGGTGGGGTTCCGTGGGCAACAGGTGCTATAAATGGCTGGGTGGCTGGGGCAAAAGTGTATTTGAACTAGGCCTCATAATCCTGCCAGAACTTGCAGGTTGGGGGTTGCCCCCAAGCTTTCCGCTGGTAAAGTATAATTTCTCGAAGGAGATGAACTTTTCTCCGTGAGCCAGTCTCATGACGTGCCACATGTGAAGTAGAGTTACCGGGGGGTGGGCACTAGGTGCTTAATGTATGAAATGTACCAACTAGTTTACAAAATCTAGCATCGCTCTCCTCTCGGAGCACACTGCCGTCAAATAGTGCCGATCATCCGATACCTCCTCAATCTTAGCGTTAACCATCAGCTCTGTCGCCGACCTTTCGTCTTTGCCCTGCACTTTGTTTTACATTGATGCGGCTTAAATTTTCACGCCACTAGCTCAGAAGTGAATAGCCTTGGCGTGAGTCGCCATGGCAGCCTCCTTAAAAGCCTCGGCTAGTGTGGGGTGGGCATGGCAGGTTCTGGCGATATCTTCGGTCGAGGCGCCATATTCAAGGGCAAGGGTACCCTCGGCAATCATTTCACCGGCGTTAGGCCCAATAATGTGAACACCAAGGAGGCGATCAGTTTCGGGGTCGGCAATCATCTTGACGAGACCATCGGTGTCCAAGTTGGTCTTGGCACGGGAATTGGCACTGAATGGAAAAGTACCGACACGGTAGGGAATCTTCTGAGTCTTCAGGTCCTGCTCGGTTTGACCGACCCAAGCGACCTCGGGGTAGGTGTACATGACAGAGGGAATACAGCCGTAGTTGACGTGACCGAAACCTTTCTTTATGTATTCGACGACAGCGACAGCCTCCTCCTCGGCCTTGTGGGCCAGCATGGGACCGAAGGTGGCGTCACCGACGCAGCGGATGTGGGGAATTTTGGTGCGATATTCGGAGTCGATGATAACACGGCCACGCTCATCCAGCTCCATGCCAATGTTTTCGAGGCCAAGGTTAGCAGTGTATGGGCGGCGGCCAATGGCAACCAGAACGACTTCAGCATCCAGCTACATCTGTATTAGCAGCTTTTGGGGGTAGTGATGTGACAAAACTTACGGATTCGGGCTTGCCACCTTTGGCAGAATCAACGTCCAACTTGACCTTCTCGCCCGACGTGTCGCCGCTAAGAACCTTAGTGTTGAGCTTGAAATCGAGACCCTGCTTCTTCAAGAGCTTCTGAGTCGACTTGGCAATCTCGCTGTCCATGCCGGGGCCACCGATCTGGCCAAGGAACTCGACAACGGTAACCTTGGAGCCAAGGCGGGACCAGACGGAAGCCATCTCTAAGCCAATGATACCACCACCAACAACAACCATACTTTCAGGGATTTGAGAGAGAGAGAGCGCGCCAGTGCTGGTGACGACGCGCTTCTCATCAATCTCCAGACCGGGAAAGGGAGTAGCCTCAGAGCCGGTGGCAATGAGGATGTTCTTTCCGCGAACAGATGTCTCGCCACCGTCGTTGAGAGCGACCTTGATCTCGTTCTCGTTAACGAAGGAGCCCTCGCCCTTTATGTATTCGACACCGTTTTTTTTTAAGAGGAATTCGACGCCCTTAGTGAGACCTGTGACGGCTGTGTCCTTGGCTTTCATGAAGTTGGCAAGATTCAGCTTAACGTCGCTGACCTCAATTCCTCGGTTCTTTGTGTCATGAAGAATCTGGTGGTAAAGGTGGGAGTTGTTGAGAAGTGACTTGGAAGGAATGCAGCCAACGTTCAGACAAGTACCACCAAGAGTACCACGCTTCTCGATGCAGGTGACCTATGTGAAAATATCAAATGTCAGACATGTCCCAGACGATTCAAATCACCCCCCCAAACAGGCTCAATAAAACATACTTTGAGGCCTTCCTGGCCAGCCTTGATAGCAGCGACATAGCCAGCAACACCACCACCGATGATGATAAGATCCTTGTCCTCTGAGAAGATGTCAGCAGGGGCGCCTCGCTGTTTCGCAGAACAAGTCGAAATCGACAAACCGGAAGCGGTTGCAAGGCCACGGCTGAAGCGAGAGAGAGCAACGGGAACGATAGCACTGTGAGCGTGGCATTGTTAGTTAACGAGATATTTTTCTTGGCCGCGAAGCTGAAGCCATGCATCCGCTCGCAAAGAGTAAGGGAGGAGCGCAGACGTACGCAGTTCGCTTGAAGGCAGCTGGACGAGCAACAGCCCTGGGTATCAAACGAATAGAAAGCATTGTGGGCGGCGATGGCAGTGGTTCAAGCGATCAATTGGCGCCGGTAGTGGATTTTGAAGGAGGTTGAAGTTGAGTGCCGGCTGCGCTGGAAATCATCTTAGGCGCCTTCCTGGTTCAGAGAGCTCCAGCAAGTTCGGGATTGGTCAGAAAATCTTTCGGGGTGGATTGAGGGTACCTCTGCCAGGTAAATTTGCTAGCGAGTTACATACCTAGACTCAGAGGCGTTGCGAGAAACGTCCCACCCGCATGGGGCAACGATTAGGTAACGTGGCTGCGTGGACATTCAAATAATGATGAGTTCAAAAGCCGCTTGGTGGCGGCCAGAATCGGTCTGGACTCAGGCTCGGGATTCGCCTGGAGCCAGCCTATTGGATAGCTAACCTGCCTGCAAGAAAACTAAACGTGATATAAAAGAGAATTAATGCAATGTATTGTCGAGTCTGCAGAATAGACAAAAGATAGTATATGTCATCGTATCTACAATACAATTGCAACTGGCTTCATTGCAGCCTACGCCACCTCGACCGCCTGCATGGCTGCCTGCGCCTTTTGCCGCACTCGCGCCAGTTTCTTGGCCCCCTTCAGCTTTGATTTGCGCACCTTTTTTCTCAAAAACCAATGTAGTCCGACAGCAACGGCTGGTAACTGCCTCGCAGCTCCAAAAATCTTTTCGACATTGATGTCCTCGCTGGCGCTTTTACTACAGTAGATAAGCAGCTGGACCAGGAAATGTTCGACAAAGTCGGCCGTCCAGCTATTGACCTCAGGTAGGTCTAGAGGCTTCAGGATTGCAATACCCAGAGAATCATCGGCTACCAGTGCTGCGTAAAACTGGGCCACATTTGCTAGGCGTCGTGGATCTCTCATTCGTTCGCTGTCTGCCGTCTCCTCGTCGTCGGCGTCATCCCCAAACATAGATTCACCCAGGCCGCGGAATAATTTCCAAAGCCTATCTTGGAAGGCAAACCGAAGCTTCTTGTTCGAACAAGCTTGGTTAGCTACCAATGCGTAGAATTCGTTGTATTCAGTTTCGCTGCCCACGCATTGGACAAGGACACGAGCGATCTCGAGCTGGTCGTCTTTCTTTAGCTTGAGGTTCACGAATTGCCTGTAGGCGTGCTCGTAATCGTTGGCGGACATGAGTGCCGTGAAAATGGCTACCTGAGCCATGGTGCTGAATCCCTGTGAGCGAGCCTTTTGTGGATAGTCTGGGAGTACAAAATCCATATCTTCATCATCAGTCATGGAGTCATCTGACCCTTGCACAGCCTCCTTGACTGTCGAGCTCTTTGTTTTGACGGGAACACTGGCTCCAACAAGCCACCATTTACCATATGTGTCGGCGCCTTCGATATCACGCAAGCTCATGCCCATAGGGGCTAATCCATCAAGTCTACGAGACTGTGATTTGAGTTCACCGATGCGCTTCTTCATGCGCACAACATGTTCCGAGACAACAGCCGAGTCCAGCCCCTTGGCCTTGGCCTTGCTGTTCTTTAGGTCGTTGATTGTTTCAACCATGAATTTGGTTCTCACAGACACATCCTCATATCCAACCTTCGAAATATTGGTGTTGAGCACACTGGCAATATGCTTCAGAGATTGCGCGTCATCCCTTCGCAGCATGCGACCTGCCATGCGGCAAATACGCAGAAGGAGCTCAACATTCAGTTCGGATAGCTCGCCCAGGAATTTCTCCATATAGTCAAAAACGATCCTGCTGCTCACAACCTCAAAAACATAGAGCTGGGTCAAAAAATTGACCAAATTGGAGGCTTCTCGCCTAATACTAGCATCACCGCCACCAGCTTGGTTGTAGTCTCGCGCAAGGTCCTGGACAATACGACGGACCACATGGGAACCAAAGCTGGAGCCAATGAGTCTATAGATCGAAGCAGTAAATCCACCGGTCAGCACGAAGAACTGGTCTGGAAGAAGCTCGGGCTTGTAGATCTGCGCCAGGATAATGTCGGTAATAATTTCAGTTACTTCTCCTCGCGCGTTTCCTTGATAGAGTTCCTCGATCGATTGAACGATGGAGAGAAGATTGGCATCAGTCAGTCGGTTGACTAAACCTTGTATATTCTTCTGTAACCTGATCTTTGACTCGGAATCTGTGTTGGTTGCCTTCCGGAGAGTTGGGGGCACATATCTCGCGACAACGTTTCCCGTAGTTGGTGCAATATATGGGTTTTCTTTATTGGACGCGACAGGAGCATCCGCTTCTCCCTCGAAGCTATCGAACCTGGACTCTGCAGAAAGGTCGTCATCGAAAAGCTTCTCTTCGTCTTCCTGAATACCGACGCGATTTGACATGAGCAAGTTTGCATCGGAATCTATGACATCTTCCGTATCGTCGACATTAACATATCCAGCTTCATTCCGTTGCGTCACAGACTTCAGTTTTGTGGATGTGCCCGTCGCAGTCTTCCTTCTCTTAGAGGAGAGCCAGTCATCATAATCACGCTTGCGCTTCTGTTCATGGGTGACTTCGTCTTTCTGCAACCCAACTGCGTCGACATCGCCTAGCAAACTTCCCAGTCCATCCTCGCTGAAAGAGTGTGGCAAAGACTTGCGCCCCTTCTTGATGCCTAATTTTCGCTCAAATGCTTCAATTTCGGCATCATCTCGATCAAGCTTATCTTGCATAGACTTTGATATTCTCGTGTCGAATTTTGGCGTGGTGTCGACGCCTATTGATTCGTCGAAGTCGTCGCCACTGTCCTGGCTCCCGTCCAGGTTAACGAAATAGTCCAGACCTTCACTCGCGCTCTTGAAAACATCATCATCGTCTGGTGCTCCGTTTGACTTCTTCTCTTCGAATTTCGAATGAAAAGGACGTTGGACAGTCTTTGGTTCACTAGGAAAATGAGGCTGTGGGTTTCTGTCGCCTTGATTTCGGCCTTCTGTTGCAGATCGTCCGCCATATCGATTCGACTTCTTCTCGACTCTATGTGCCCTTCTTTGATCTTTTCTCAGGAGTGGCCTTTTATTGCCCCACGCTGGTCCCTGTTGCGACTTGGCAGGTGCTGGTGTGTCGATGCCAATCCTTTTGAAAAGCTTCTGTTGAAGCTCTGCCACCGAGGAAGCTGCCATGGTACAGCTCAAAGATCCAATTATCGTAGCAAATCCAGAACATATGAAACGGATTAGAGAGTTGAAGTATATAGGCACGACTGCCCTGTGCGTATCAGATCGTGAGCCGGGATGCTAGAAATAAATGGCGTTGGCGCAGAACTTTTGCTGTGGTTGAACTTTCTTATCTTATCAGCGTTTTGCTAACGCAGTGAGTGGGCTCAGTCAATAACGGAACTGTACCGTGGCGCTGTGAATTCCCCTACACTGCCTCGTAAGGTTAGGTCGTTACTGGCGCGGGGCACATTTTGTGCTTCACCAATATTGCCCTCCACAGCAACTTCAGGTGCGCCATGGATGATCAGCACTTGAGCCACGACCAAGTAAGCTTTTCCCGCTTGATCATCTCGTAGAATCCGTGCGTCAACAAGACTCACTAAACCTGGCTGCGTTCTAGTTCTTTGAGAAGCTCAATGAGCTGTTCGGCGCTCGCAAAGGAAGTGATCATGGGGCCATATATTTAACACAAAAACGACGTGAGTCCTCGCGCGGCGACACTACGTGCCGGACAGTCAGTTTGCTAACAGTTTGTAGTCACACATAATAGCGACAGCGAACATTTGACGGCGGATGGGGACTTTGAAGACCGTCATCCGTCGAAGCCCATACCCGTTATTGTCAGAGCCACAAACGGCAAATCCAAAAGAGCCAAGACCAGCAAGATCAAGCTGTCTACAGTGATTCAACCGCATGATCTAGCGTCCTTCTATGTTCGTTACGCAGAAGTCTGTAAGGCCGGCATGGCGGCGCTGAAACCACGAGACCGAAGCAAGAACAAGGCCAAGGCCAAGGCGAAGAAGAAGAAGACAGCGGCATAGCCTCTTTTTTTACTTCATATTAAATAGCTTTAAGGGGACTCGCCATACTTCTGACAAACAAATTGTTCTTTTGAGGCAAGTTGCCCCGTGTACTTCACATATCGCGAATGCAGAGAATGTTCTCAGAGGACGCGTCGTATGATTGAACAGGGAGGCGAATGTCTCTCGCAGTGCATCAGCAGCACTTCAAGAGGTTTTATCTTCGTACATAGAGCAATATTTTACTTGTATGTAGAGTTTATAGGAGGGCGGTGTCGGTCGGTGCCTGCTTGGCTTACGATACGCATGAACCCTCTTTGACTTCTGTCAGGGCCAAGACCTTCATAATAAAATGCCTTGGAAACTTTCTTCTTCCAAGTATAGTTCAATCAACTAATGAGGGAGACAGAGTGTCAGACTTCCAGCCTTGTATGCACGGGCATACAGATGCGGTCACCTGCAGTTGATAGGTAAGAGAGACACGATTTCCTCGCAGCGTCAATGTTGAGCTACTTATCCGTCTGTCCAGCAACAAATTCCATTATCGAGGAAAATATGGTGAAACGACATGGCGCCAGACGGGCCTTGCACATCTGCGCTGCAAACACTGCTTTGTCGAATGCTGTATCGCTCTTGACTTTCACACGCAGTAGCTGTTGTCCTACTCAAAACTGGGCCTCTTTCCTGCACCTCTTCATCCACAATCTTGTGTCATGACATGGTCATGAATTATTCTGCAACAGCGCATCCACATCCAGATGGCGTCGAGCTTCCTGCGGCATGTCCTAATAAAGCGCAGAGCCAGTCAATGTGACAACATCCATATCAAAGCAGTCACCTTTCCAATCAAGTCCTTCGAGTAAAGTAAACACTAAAAATCATCCTAGCAATCTCGAATAGCCCCATGTCTGCTCCTCAGATAGGTTGCCTCCTCTACTTTTTGCCAAATGTTTTTTTTTGTGCCGAAAAGTACAAACACATGAGAAAACTTGCGTAGTTTGATGAACAAGCAGAGAAATACGAACCTAAAACCTCCCTTGGTGAAGGAAAGATAGCATGTCATAGATAAGACGATGCTCAGATTTTGGTTCTAATCAAGGCAATGTTACATCATCTGGTCTTGAGTAAGACCGGCGTGAGGATCCGCTTCCATAGGTTCGCCGCTGGGCTGATTGACGTATTTGACAAAGCTAATGTTGAGGGGGCGTCCACCATATTGGTATCCTTGAAACTTGGAGATGGCAGTCTCAGCAGTTTCGGCAGTGTCGAATTTGACCACGCCACTGCCACGCGAGCGGCCACTGGGCTCATACTGGATTTCAGCCTGTTCGACCTTGCCTATGGTAGTGAACAGCTCGATCAAGTCGTCGTTGCTAGTCGACCATGGTAGCTAATCTTATTGTCAGCGCGCTTCCCGCGTGATCGCTCGTTGGTGGACTTACGTTGCGAACGTAAATGATCTCACTGCGTTCAGTCCCGGAGGTAGCATTGTCAGTGAACGGATTGGGCGCTGCGGGGGTTGAAGGCGGGCCATCAAAGCTGCCAGCACCAGGTCCTCCGCCGAAGCCGCTACGGCCACCAAAGCCGCCTCCGAATCCTCCGCGGCCTCCAAATCCTCCGCGAGCGCCGAATCCTCCACCATAGCCGCCACGCATTCCGCCACCATAGCCGCCGCGGCCGCCGAAGCCCACACTTCCAGCGCCAGCAAAGCGATCCTCGCGGACTTCAATGGTGCGTCCCTGCCAGTCATAGCCATTGAATTGTTGGATAGCGCTGCGAGCGTCATCAGGGCTTTCGAACACAACGATGCCGGATCCCTTGGGTCGGCCGTCAGGACCAGAGTGCACATCCGCTCGGATGACACCACCATTGCGGGCTAGTTTCCAGGTCAGCTTCTGCAATACGGCGATGACACTGGGCCGTGTTAAGCGATTTGAGCTCACCTGCTTGTCTGAAAAGATCCTTGAGATCTTGCCAGCCAACATTGAAAGGGAGCTGTTGTCTATGTTAGTGAAAGTGTCAAGCTGTAGTGTATCTGGCCGGTAGCAACGAACGTTGGCAACATAAATTTGACGACCGCCGCCAGGGGCGCCGGGGCCGCCGGGACCACCATGATGGCCATTGAACGCCGGATTGAAACCGCCATGGATATTGCCACCAAAGCCACCACGGTTGCTGCCGCCAGATCCGATGAAACGTGGCTCCGCTTCGCGATCCTAGGAATTTTAGTCAGAATCGCCTCGACGCGAAGTATGCACGAAATCTAACCTCGCGGACGTATACAAGACGACCCATGAGATTCTGGTTGCTGAGCTGGGTAACAGCCTGCTGGGCTTGTTCTCTGGTAGCATATTCCACAATTCTAGACGCGTCAAGTCAGGATCCGCTACCTTGTTTTTCGAAAGTGATCAAAACGTACCCGCATCCCTACAAATGACCCAGGACAAAGTCCCTACCCGTCAATCCAAAACATCCATCAAATAAGCCAAACAAGGGAAGGAGGAGATCCAGAGAGTACCGCCAGGGGCGACTGAAAAGGGAAAGAAAACTATGCAATGAAGCCCACCTTCGACATTCCATTAGGAAGCAGCAATACATCGGCAAAGAGAACATCTCCAGCTATAACCCATCAAGTTAGTCCCCAAGCAACTCCTCCTCACTCTCGAATTCCTCACCCTGTCTCATAAAATCCTTAAGATGATGCCACTTGACGTCGTACGAGAGATTGCCAACGTAGACTCGGCGATCTTGTTGGGATGAATCGCGCACGTTGGACATCATCTGCTCGCGGGCGGCAGCTCTGTCTTCGAATGAGCGCTGAGGGCCTTGACCGCCGCTGAAGCCAGCGGGAGGGCCGCCGCCGGGAGTTCCTGTGCCGGCCATCGGGGAGCGATCGCGACCTCGTCGATAGTCTTCTCGACTGTTGGATCTGCTTCGCGGGGAGTAAGATCGGCGACGTCCTTGTCTGCCGGGACTTCTGGAGCGACGACGAGGGGAGCGAGATCTCTCACGCTGCTTGCGCGTTAGAATCATTCTGGTCAGAGTACCTAGTCGTTGGTGTAACATTTCGCTGCTGTCGCCCGGGCATGGCATTCTTGGCCGAGCACACCATTCATGTCATTTGAAGGAGCTCGAGCTAGCGTGGGTGTACGAGACTGTTCGGGTGTGAAGCACGTTCGCGGTGTGTATGCGAGTGTGCGGGCACGCATACACCCCGCGACGCACCTACACTACCGAGTGTGACACGCGGAATCGAGTCCGAAGAGGGTAGCTGGGCAACAGCAACGGCGTAACATGGCTACCAAACGCCATGGTACAAAGCTAATTCAGGGCCAGGTAGGTTCACTTACAGGACGGTAGGTGTCGCCAGAATCAGCTAGGTACAGATGTTAGGTAAGTCTGCAAAATGAAGAATGTGCAAGGAGCAAAGTCGTGGGACATCAAGGTCAGAATGGTGGCGGGAGAAAGACGAGGGTCGGATGGTGGGGTTAAGGAGAGAAATGTAGGGCACCGGACCACGGGCACAAGTTTTGAGAAAGCAATGTCGTATTGACGCAGCTGGTTTTCGCAGAGGACCGTGGTTGCCTGATATTATTGGTAAAGGGTGACGAGACGAGAGTGACAAGGGAGTAATGCGCGATGCGCAGTTCTGGCAGAGGAAGTGCAACAGGCGGGGGCAGTGAAGTTACATGAGAAAAGAGACAAAAGAGGATGGGACATCGATCTTGTACCAGTGAGTGGGAGAAGAAGGAGGAACAATACGAAGCCCACACAGAGAAGCTGGATCGGCAAAGCAAAAAAAGTAGCTTGAATGAGAAGTGTTGATGTGTCCAGAGCGTGCGGCGACGAGGGCCAGGAAGAGCAAGGACGGAGTGGTGCAGAAGTGCGGAGAAGTGAACGTACCCATGGCAGAAAAATGCGAGCGTTGGAGTAGAGAGAAGAAAAGGACTGAGCCTGTTCGCGGTGGTGAAGAGTGAGTGGGTGTCTCAACAGATGGAGGGCGGCGCAAAGCAAGCCCAAAAGTGAACAGCGGCGAGCAACGGTACGAACGGGGGCAGAGGAAAACAGGCAGGAAACAAGCCACGGATGGTCAGCTCACGGACGGATCTTGCATAAGCGCAAAACCAAGACTTCATGCACGTCGTCGGAAGTGGCAGCAAAATTGGAGGGGGTGAGAGCGGGCAGCAACGGTAACAGGTTGACAGGTAGGAAAGTCTGCGTCGAGGGCGTGTGTGGCAGTGGTATGGTGGTATGGGACGATAACTGCTGCTGGCTGGGACTGGATGGTATGGCTTTTTGCTAGGTGGGAAAAAGTGCGACGCGATGAAAATGCGCGTGAATGGAAGGTATTGAGTGTGGGGGGGTTCGAAAGTGAATGACGAATGAGAGGTGAAAAGGCTGAACTGGCAGGGGGAAGACCGGTACGTACCTACCTAGATAGGCATACGTTAGACATATAGTACAAGTATACGTGCCACGCACCCACCTCTCTAAGGAAGGTGCTATATAACTATATAGCCTATATACCTTATAGCCTAGAATTTTTAACCTCTTAACTTTAAATTAGTATTATTAAACTACTAAAAACACTAAAAATAAATTATTATTATTATTATTATTATATTAATAATATAGTTAATAAGT